AGTCTAGCATGTTATTTCAATGTAATAACACATTATGTAACACTGTATATAGCACTTATATAATAACAGTAATGTAGTGTGAAAACCCATGAAGAATTACACTTCGGGAATAAATGACTTTCAAGCATTTCCAACAGTCAAAGTAAAACACTATGGCCCACACAAACGTCACTGTGATGTCAGTAAAATATATTCTGTGATTATTTATTAACACTTTAAAAACACTTGACCTTATTACTTCACGACTGGAATAAAGGTTAGTGATAACATGGAGGATTGATAGTAGTGGAGATTCTCTACTCACTACAGAAGGCGAATGCAGATAAATTTTTAGATTATGGTCAGGCCACCATAAATTTTGCAGACAAAATTTAAAGTTATACTGTCTTTATTTAAGAAACTGTATTATTTAAGAAAAAAGACTGCATAGTACTCAACGAAAATATTGAAAATTGCTCATTTAAAAATTCATCAATCAATCAATCTCGAATCAAGCAATACATAATGAATAAAAATCCTAAAATTATATTTTCTTGTTTTACCTTCACAACCAATGGAAGTAATTAACTGTGTACCATTTATTAACGCCAAACCCTGTAGGTAGGACAAAAGAATAGATTTAACTGAGTCAAGAATGACAACATTTTTTTAAAATAATAGGTCACTGTAGTAACCTTTCACCCCACTAAATATGAACATGGCCCTTCATCCAGTATGCTTAAATTGAAAGGTTTAAAATATTGTAATATCAATAGATAGGGAAGCTACAGGCATGCAGGCAGTGAGTTGTTCTACAAAGAATTTACTTAGCATATCAGTGAGGTACAGATTACTTCTCTGATCTATGACAACTTCCGGAGTCTGGATATAATTCCCATAAGACAGAACAGTATGGACATTTTAAATGTAATAAAATGGCTTTTTAATACCATGAGTTCTTGTATTAGTTAAAGACCTATTACAATATTATTACAATGAAGATAGTTCTTTCATGTCTATATATTCATATATGCATTTTATTCGGTGCATTTGATTTGTAAAAGAATATTACCTCTTTTTCTCTCAAAGATATTGGCTTCAGTCCGTGAGCCTCCAGAACCTAAAAAAACAAACATTAAAAAAGTTGTAGTGGCTGCTGAGGGGAGAGTGTTTATGGTCCCAGTAGCAAGAAAAACCAATAGCTGAACAAAGGGAGTATAGGCTCCTCGGAGTCAAAGGCCAACCATAAATTAGTTTAAGTAATAGGAGTAGTTTAGCCTTTATTACTATTATTATTATGTAATTTCTGTGCAAAGCGCATTGGGGCAATGTTCAATATGCACTATATAGATATAACATTATTATTATTGTTGTTATTATTTATAATGACGTTTTTTACAAGTAGTAATTCAGTATAGATATGGCTTGACAAAAGGGCTTAAAACAGACTCCAACTATTTAACTTGCATGTAGTATTTTAAAGTACTTACATATCGAGAATCTGCCCAGCCACTTTTTGGGCTCCACATTTTCCCTTCCCCTACCATGCCAAGAGCAAGGTGAGCAAGGGGCGCTAAGTCGCCGCTAGCACCAACAGTCCCTTTCTCAGGTACCCATGGCAAGCAGTTGGCTGAAAAAAGAAATCCATTTCTCATCACAAATTGCAAAAGTTTTTTGGAGACATAAATCATTATCGATTGTCAGGTTTACATTACAATTATTCAATAAATTATTAATTATTTAATTTTAGCATTTATATAGTGTTCTTTACCGGAGCAGCGCTTTTTGCCATGGTCATTGGATACAGAATCAATCATACACAAGGTGCAACCTCCTCCACTCCCTTGGGAGTATTCCTAGTTATGTATGTAATCAGCACTACTAATTTCATTCCGAATTATTCACCTCCTTCCAGGTAGCCATTTATACTCCTGGGTTAAGAGAGGCAGATGAAGTGTCTTGCTCAAGTACACAAACAGTGTGACGAGCGTCGGTCTCAATCCCCTGACCTTCAAGTTCCATTTGAAAGTCCAATGCCTTCCACGCTGTGCCACATGCTTCAACAGCAGCAAATACTTCCAACAATTATAAAGGTAGCTAAAGGTGAAATATATTCAAGGTAATCCCTACAATACACAATCTTAAGCCTTTGAGCCAATAAGCAAGATATATCCGGCTACACCCAACTCTATTTCACATAAAATATCATGTGCTGAAAGGTTTTAAGGGTGGTATGATTTTAATCCCTTGTTCACATCTTATTTAAACTGACCAAACAGCTAAGACCTTGGAGTTTACTGTCCTGAACAATTTCTATTGTGAGTTTGCACATAACATACATATTTGTGTAGCCATAATTAACTAGATTAAATGTCTAAGTCTATATAAATAAACACATATATAAAATAAATTAATTAATAGAATTTAATATAAGATAGGTTAGGATAGAATAGGAGTATTTCGGTGTGAATCACACCTAGGATAGGGCCCACTAAGTCTGATGACTTGTTTCCAGTGGGGTCCTTCTGGTGGTGAATTGGGCAGTTCACCAGGAGACAATTCCCTACTCTTTTCCAAAGAATGTACTGTGTACTTTAACATGCACCTGGGCCATGTTGCACACAGGACCAACAGCTTAAACGTCTCATCCGAAAGACGGTGCCCAATCGTAGCTTGTATTTCAGCCCTCCAGCTGAAACACAAGGAAAGGCTGCGATGGGAATTGAACTGGGGACACAGTGGCTACCACCAGTTTAGCTGACTAAGCTAAGCTACTCTCTCTATAGAATAAAAAATTATCCTTACCATTAAATGCCTGTACAATCTGTTGGAGAACTAATAGAGATATTCCACTATGTCCCTTGGCAAGAACGTTAATCCTTAGAGCCAACAGCTTGCGTACATGTTCAAGTGGTAATGGCTTCCCAACACCAGCCGCATGGGATCTTATCAAATTCAGCTGCAGTTCCCTTTGGAAATACAGCCATTTTATATAAGTATAATGAATGTAAATTTAAAAAGTTGACATCGCATATTTTATCACATTTGATCATTGGCTACATAAGCAAATTTGCTACACAAATGTTTACATAAGAAGGCCATGCTCAGGTAACAAGGTAAAAAGTCATAAGCCTCAGACTTGCTTAAACTAAAAAAAAAATATATGATATATATACAAAATAAACTGTAGTGGCCAACAATGAAAATAATAAAAATAATAATAAAAGCATTTATATTGCGCCTTATATCCAAAACACATTTGCTCATAGGTGCATAATACAATACATAAAATTATTAATTCAAGTAGAAAAAATTAAAAATGATAGTAAAAACAAAACCCTAAAAAGATTTAAAAACCGGCATTTATAGAAATTAAAAGTGGGAAATAAAATTCATGAATGGTATATCAAGTATGAAAAATTAAAACACAGGAAATATTAATTAGTTAATTTATTCATTTATATATACATTTAAACATTTTTGATTATTATTTTATTTATTTTTTTATTTTGTTTTTTTAAACAAAAAAAAAAAATATATGAAGTTGAGGTTCAAAAGATAGTAAAAAAAAATCCCTAAAAAGATTTAAAACCGGCATTTATAGAAATTAAAAGTGGGAAATAAAATTCATGAATGGTATATCAAGTATAAAACATTAAAACACAGGAAATATTAATTAGTTAAAAATCTAGAAATACATATCCTACCATTAACCAAAGAATTTGTTAATACTAAATATCATTAAGTGCGTTTTAGAATTTAGAATATATTTGAGTTTTAGTAGAAGACAACTTATTGATTATTTACACATAGATATCATTATTTGCATGATAAACAGAAATCAATAATTTAGTCCCAAAACCTTTTGGCAAAATATCAACTATAGATTTAACATGCTGGAGAACTGTTGCGTTATATCATTGTTTTGTTTGGTGAAAATAAGAAAAAATGGTTAGTCAAAAAACACTGTCCCATTTAGAATTAAATTTATTGAATCATATGAGTTTATATCGGAATATATAGAGTTTTAGAATTTAGAATATATTCAAAAATACTCCCACAGTTTAGTAGAATCAGCTTAATTGATTATTGACACATAGATATTTTGATTACATTATTTTCATGACAAACAGTAATCAATAATTTAGTCCTAAAACCTTTTGGCAAAATATCAACTATAGATTTAACATGCTGAAGAACTGTTGTTATATCATTGTTTTGTTTGGAAAAAGTAACTGGTTAGTCAAAAAACACTGTCCTATCTAGAATTGAATTTCTTGAACCATAGGTGTGTATATTCGAATACATATATAGAGAAAAGAAAATCATAATTTTAAAAATATGGTCAAAATATGCGAATGAGATATAGGGGTGTAGGATGGTATTGACCTGGGGACATGGGTTGCAAAAAATGACAATGCAGAACTAAATCCCAGAATGTGGAATCTAAGTCCCTATTCCAATGAAAACGTAATGGTCATTTTTAGTATTTTAACCCACATAGTGGAATTAATTTGCTGCAATGGGGGTGGGGGTACATCAGCATACCTACATAGATTGCTTGAGAAAGCTTGTGTAATAAACAATTGTTTTTATTTTATATGATATAAAATTGACTTCATCTATTATAATTTCCTTCACTTTGTTAAGCCCTGTCCAGAGCATTTTCTTTGACAAAACATGCCTACATATGATGACATCACAATATGACCATATATAGGCACACCATGGCTATATATGGGCATACAACAGTTTTTTTTGTCAAAGAAAATTTGATACTGTAGAGTTTTTAATAGTGCGGAAATCACTAGGGAAATAGGTGCACGAAATCGTGATTGCTGAATAACTGCATTGGTTATATATTAAGATTTGTTCAAAGTCTAATTTACGGCAAAATCTGTGCGGGAATCGGCTATTTTCCGAAATGCACAAATGGATTTCTACTGTAGGCCAAATTTTTGCGCGGAGGATTATTCTCCGCACAGGCCTTACTATACAGTCTGGTAACACTACATACTTACACTATATCTTCTCGTGGGATGACAACTTTTGCAAATTTTCCAAAGCCTGTGGTGATGCCATATACAACTATGGATGTGAAAAGAAATAGAGATGGATTCTAATTTTCAAAAATCAGTGTTTCTGCTTATATTCTGGCATGTGTAGAATTAAAAGCATTAACAAAAGCACTGTATGGTCAAAAGAAAAGGGCTTCTTCCTTATTACAAAGAGTTTGTACAAGGAACTAATTTCATTTTTATTACTCGTGTGTAAAAAATTAGATAGTGGAATATTGTAAACTGGTAAAAAATAAAATCCTATTTCTTCTGATCTAATATCGAAAGTAAAATTCTTTTCCTATTATATGTATATGATTTATAAAACTAATATAATTATCCCTGCCTTTATTGTTCTTAACAATGGAATTGACTAGATCTCTTGCTTTTGACACTGCATTTTCAGCTTTTTCACTCAACTACAAATACAGAGAAGAGAATTTATTAGTTCAATATTCGATTATTTCTTAATCAAATGCCAATGTTGACAACAAAATAATCGCTCTTTGCAAATGGTTCACACTCATAAAAACAAGTTCAGATACAAGAATTTACATACAGCACATACATAATAAAGGAGGAGCATGTCTACAAAATATATCCATGAAAAAAACATTTCATTACAAACTATAGTGATGTATTGCAATCCAATACATAATGTTGCACAGAGATGTAATACTAAAATAGCATACAACATAACTCTTCATTGAATTATTTTAAAATGACTCGCTATATAATACCATAGTCTATGATAATACCATATTATAACAAGTTTTAGCAAACTTTATTGAAAATAAAATTTAGTGCAGAACAATCATTTCTGCAAAATTGAAAATTAGTTTTGCTGAATCTATATTTTAGTAGGTTTAGCAAGAACTTGTATATAAATAGTGCTAACTGTACCTTGATTTTAAGTTCACCTTTTCCCAATCGAATGAGATCTCCAGGCAACAGGGAATTACCATCAAGTTCAATGTACTAAAAACACAAAACAATTTGTAAATTCGGAAACTTTGTCATACGAACATTAATTAATTACTTTTAATTTTTTCCGCAAGCATTTGGGAACGTATTGAGCATTCAGTACTATAAATCAGGGCACTCACTGCTTTGTACGACGATTGTACGACCGTCAGCAGACGAATCCAACTCTAGCTCCGACTCTGCTTCATGTGAGCGCTTCCGTGAGCGTTAGGTGACACGCGATGCCATCTGCTGAGTGCAAGTGGAAGTTTGAGCGGATCATCATTACAAACGATAAGGGTGCTGTGTTCTCTATAGAAGCTCGTTGGCCGATGACCGTCAGCCACAGTGAGTCTCCTGACACAAACACGCCATCGGAATACTTTTAATCACTTTCAATTTATATTAAAAAAGGGTTAACAGTTTGGTGACATGGATTTGTTTTAAAATTTAACCTAGATTTTATAGACTTTTGATGATTACAATTTACTTCACACTTTTCCTGAACTTGCTTTATTATTTTATTTTTCTGTTTTTGTTTATGTCCTACTGAAACACATTTACAACATACATAATTTTCATTTTTTTTCATTTTATTTCACTTGTAATTTGCAACTTAACTTAACTACTACAAGTGCCGAGGACCAAGGAGGCCGTAGGCCTGTAATTAAGGTCCCCGGACTAATCTAATGACCTAACTAATAACAATTTAAATTAAAAGGATTAAATAATCGAAAAAAAAAAAAGAAAAAAAAAAGAAAAGAAGCCAAGCCAGGAAGATTTCAACAGATTGAACATGAGATATGATTTTGTTAATCCTAGTTATCAATTATTATTATTCTCTATTATTATTATTATTATTAATATTATTATTATTATTATTATTATAGTTGTTAGTATTACTATTATTATTATTATTATTATTAATATCATTGTTATTGTTAGTATTAGTATTGTTATTTATTATTATTATAATTATTATTATTATTATTATTATTATTATTATTATTATTATTATTATATTGCTATTATTATTATCATAACTGATATTACTATTACATATATCACTACTATTACTAGTTTTAGTAACTCTATAATTATTTAATTAAAACCTTTATAAATAATATTTATTTACCTAGGAAGATATTTTTCAATCAGTTAATGGATTTAGGCAAGGAAAGCCAATACTTTGGTCCATAATAAAAGACAGTGTTTTGCCTTTTAGAAAGTCTGGAATATGGTAAATGAAATGAAGAAGCCTGACGGGTGTGATAGGAATGGATGTTTGAATTAAGAAGGCTGAACCTGACCTTATTGCTAACAAAGGCAATGAATATTAATACCCCTGAACATTTAAGTTTAAAAACTGTTAGTGATACGACACAAACTGATCAATGATTTGTTTTAAAATTTAACCTATGTAGTGTCTTATGAAGGATTTTATAGGATTTCGATTATGAAAATTAAATAGCACTGAACCTGAAATTGCTTTAATATTTTGTTTATGTCCTACTAAAACCTACTTATAATACAACAACATACAAAAGGTTTAATCTGATCTTAATTGGTAACAAAGGCATTAAATATTCATACCTCTGAACTCAGAAAATGTTGTTTTGCTTCACTGAACCGAAACTAAACTTAGTTGATTCAGGTATAATCACAATAACCTTGAAATATGAGAATTGGACTTTTATTGATCCTTTTTTTTTTTTTTTGGAAATTATCTAAAATTTTAAAAATACTGATGGAAGAACATAAACTTGTTACCATATTTATTTTGTGAAAGATATTTTAAAAAGTACGTACATCTTTAGCTTGATGGATGGATGCTGGATAATGGATTCTGGGAAAAGATGAACATAAAGGGTAATCACATATATGTAAAGCTTGTTAGCATCTGCCACCATAATAACAAATAACTGTCATATGTATAGATACAAGGCCGGCAGAACGTTTTTCAAATTTCTTTCCTATCATACAAAAAATCTGTATAGACGACATATATTTTCTACCAAAAAGTGCCCGCCCACCCCGGTTCCGCTGGCCATGAGATACAGTAGGCTTCATATTCTATTCATACTTCATAATTATTATCTAATTTCATAACATTTATCTGTCTTTATAATATCAAGTGGGATAACTTTATTTCAAATGAACATGTTTATATACACATAGGTAAATAATACAAACAGTGCTCCAAACAGGAAAAAAATTGATTTATGAAAGTTGGTCTATCGATCACAGCCCTTCAGAGAAAAAGCCCTTTTCATTACTTGGTTTGTTGAAGATCTTATGGTCATTATATCAATTGTTCCTATATTTGTGGCAAAGACAAGCCAAACCAATCACTCGTCGTGTTTCACAGAAAATGGCAAAAACATGCTTGAATGTCAAATTTTTAAAAAATCTATTTTATTGCACTAAACTATCCTTTATATATCTATACATCATGCTATGCTGTTATTTTTCCCATTTTTAATGTTAAAACAACACTTTTTAAAGATTTCATGATAGTTTCTGCATGAGAAATGCCTGAAATCATAAACTTTGAAGGCTGATTTCTCATATATTGTCCTTTAAGCAGCTGTATGTTTAAACACTTGTACCTTTATAAGGAAATGTAGGATTTGAATAATTTTTTACCATTTTATAGCTCTTATTTTACTCTTTAACTCTGTATTAATAAGGCAAAATCGTTTTTGCGACCAGTGACTGGTTTATCTTGTCTTTGCCACATTTGTTTGTAAACTATATGCTATAATTTATTATGCACTATTCATGGCCTACTGCAACTGCAAGATTCTTTGGTAAAAAAAAATAACAAGATGTTTCTTACCCATTCATGGTGGTTTCCTCCACACTAACATTTTTTTTCAGGTCACTCTTAAGCACTGTATAAAAATAAAATGTGATTGCATTTAAATCCAGCCACAATTTTCTTGATAAAGCACAGAGGTAAACAAAGGATACAACCAGTTTATTCCATATGGAACTATAGACGTAATTGTGATAGCTGTACTGTAGGCTTATTGTTGCTGTTAAAATAAGTCTGGGTTGATATGATTTATTTATTTATTTATTTATTATATTTGGGACATTTTAAGTATTACCTTATTTTATTTGTAATAAATTAAAAGGAAAAGTATTTCGATTTGTGAGTGAATGTACTTCACCAGATGGTTTATGCTTAACAGGGAACTGAAGTAGGCTTAGGCTTGATATAGTTTTGCAGTATGGACAGGCGGACATGATAATTGTAAGGAAGAAATAACCAGGCCATAAAATAATTTTTATGTTGATTTTAAACCATCTTTATTGGTGGGAAGCACATTCACTAAAACCAAGTATAAAGTTGCCTTGCAAATCAACCATATCTCACAGATGCAGTGTCAAAGGAATTGGATATAATTGTATATTTACTGTTCTTGTCTTGCTTACAGGGGGGCAGTCAGGATGGAATGCAAGAGAGGGGGGATCAATTGTGAGCCAAGCAAGCAACTTAGACTGAGGGCCAGGGGCTGTCAAGGGCACCCAGTTGGGTGTAGGAAAAATTTAATGACACCCCCCCCCCCAACCCTCTGGCTGTGTCCCTGAATTGCCTATAAAATCATGTGGAAGCCAATTAAGGACTCTGCTGGACTGTCACAAGGTTAAATACAGTATGCATACCAAGGTAAAATATCCAATTAAAATAAACCTTGTCTTTCTAGGAAGGACTTTGTAGCCACTTGGCCTACACCAGATATCGTGATTGTTTATTCAAGTGGATGAGTCAAGAGGCTGAGCGGTAAAGGCAGAGCTGCTGCTAACTACAACCTTAACATCAGTTTGAGCCACTCCTCATCTGGGGTTCGACTGGTAGAACAAATCTTCTCAGATAAGGACTTAAAGTGGAGTTCCAGTGTACATATCTGGCTCCTGTGCACTTTAAAGAACCTGGCCATTGCATAATTTTTCGGATGAATAGGGGGTTTCCCCGATACTACGGTTCATTCCAGCCCCTGTCGTTGTGGAATGATGTGAACATGAAGCTATTATAAGCACCTCTTTATGGCGCAAGGTAGTCAGGGATCACGGCGAAATGCAATTCAGCACAATTATCCTGCGAGTTATGGGTTATTCTCCTACCTTTACCACTATATACATAGCCTATAGCAATATATTTGATCGCCATGCTCAAACACGTCGTAAATAATTTTTGTTGCCATTAATTATACAGGACGGAATTAATCACAGTGTAAACAAAAGTAGAGTCGATTGTCTAATTAAGCAAAAGGAAGGAAAATGCTGTTTTTAGTGTTTATCAAACCGAACCATGTAATTATGGATGTCAACGTCTTCTGAAAAATAAAAATTGCCACCACCTACGCCAAAACACAATTGAACGCAACCTGCGTGGATTGAATTTTTAGACTACGTGTCGGTAGAGTCTGATCAAAATATAAAGGTACGAAGAAAATTTTAACAGATAATCAGCCAGTTTAACATCTCACATACAGCATTTTTGTGATAATGAATGAGGGCGTACTTACACATTATACTTAAGGATAGGCCTAGACAAATTTGATTTAGTGTATATAGTCTATACAGTTTGATATCTTAAAATTCCTTAAAAAAAATAGGTCTACTAGTCTAGACCCTAAAAGCCTATTTTGATGGACCTACACAAGATGTGACATTACATAAAAACATAAAAACTTGATATTTACCGGCATAAACAAAATCGTTTTCATCTAAGACATCCTCAATTGCATCGTACGGGAAGAGAAGGCTTCCTCCTTGAGTCTTCCGCATTTCAACAACGTGGTCATCATCTCCCGAGTAATCGCACTGCTTGATGTATCTACGCAGTGCTTCCTGACACAACCAATCGATCGTGTTATTATTTTTGTTATTTCGACAAGGAATTAACAGCCATTCCCCACGAATTCTCACGTTGACTTTCATATTACTTGTTGTAATGTTGTTTCGTGTGTTCAGATCCACAATTTACAAACTCCTCCTGCGTTCCGTTGTGGATGAATTCCGGTGATAACCAGTTGTTCGGTTGTTTACAGATGTCGGGTCCGTACACTATTGTTTTCCTTTTGGCTGTGTAAAAGGTGTGTCTACAATAGAGCAATTTGATTGGTCCACTGATATTCATTCATAAATCATTCACCCACGATAGCGCGGAAAAAAAAGGTTTTTAGCTAAATCGTGTTGCCAAACAAGGTCATGTGAAAAAGTCGGGGGTTCAGTTGACAATTCCCGCCAGAAATCACATTGTGGAATTTTTTGGAGAACGTGCTCTATAGCTTACTTTTACAATCGTATTTAATACATACATCTAGAAAGTCGATTTTATGACGTCTTCAGTGCTCTGGCAAGACTGACCAATCAAAGTCACCATTTTATCGTCGACAGCAGCGAAATCAACAAACACAGATCTGACTAGACGTACGCATCGATCATACACGACGTCAGAAGTGTGTGGCGAAGTTGAAGGTATGTCTGGGACTTTGAGAGATATTTGTGGTGGCTTACCTGTAAGTCCACTCCCAGCGTATCGAAGCAGGGACCCATTAATAGCCCATGCACCCACAAGGACACACGAGCTGAATACAAATGAACAGAAGGTAGGATAAAGCCTAGGCTAGGCCTGCCTAGCCTACTTGTTTTAGGCAGCGGCACCCAGCATGACCAACCAGGCCACGAGGACTATTCGTCCTGCCTAGGCCAATTAAAGCATGGCAGGACAAAACAATAAATAAAAAATGCAATCAATCAACTCTAGCTGAATGCCTTTTTAAAATAGTAAATTTATTGCCTTTTGTATGAAAACTAAATATTATTAAATAAATTAATATGATGGTTTAATATAATAAAGAATGTTTGAATACTATTTTTATTTAGGCCTAGTAAATAAATTATTTAAATAACATTTACTTTTTTCAACCAAAAAGAAAGCACTTACAAATGCTCTCCGCTACTTTCCAACCAGTCTACATGAATTTTTGGCACCTGAATTTGCTCAAGAGCTTGTGAAATATGGACACATCTATATGTACCGCTTTAAACCAGAAATTGAAATGAGGTAAGACATGACTGTCAAGTTCAAGTTTTCATTGACAAATATGTGTGATTTACCCATATTATTATGGTGATGGCAGGAGAGAGGCAGCTTAGCTCAGTCGGCTAATCTGGTGGTAGCCACTGTGTGTGCACTGAACCGTGGACATCTCTAGGTCCACGCTTCAATTCCCATCGCTGCCTCTCCTTGTGTTTCAGCTAGAGGGCTGAAATACAAGTTACAATAGCACACCGTCTTTTGGATGAGACGTTTAAGCCGTTGATCCCATATGCATTTATGGCCCATGTGCATGTTAAAGAACGCAGTAAACTCTTTGGAAAAGAGTAGGGGATTGTCTTCCAGTTTGCTGTCCAATCACCACCAGAAGGACCCCACTGAAAATAAGTCTTCTTCTATAATTTCGTGGGCTATCTTGGTGTTTACAATCCAGGCATATAACACCATATATGGGCATGAATGCCATATCACACCATATTTGGGCATAATGATGCCATATCACACCATATATGGGCATGATGATGCCATATCACACCATATATGGGCAAGTCACTATATTTGTCATGTCAGTAAAACTAAAGCTCTGTCCACACTATCAAGAATTTCAAATCACAAGTATTTGTCACATAAAACATGATAATGTCAACAAAGCTTTAAGCTTTGTCCACACTATCAAATTTTCTGTGACAAGAAACTGTTGTATGCCCATATAAAGTCATGATGTGCCTATATATGGCCATGATGTGATGTCATCATAGCCATATTTAGCCATATGTCACATGTTTTTGTCAAATAAAATGTGATAGTCTGGACAGGGCTTTAAATGCTCTATGAAACCAGAAGAGAGAGGAGTTTGTAGAATGGTGGTTAAGATGTTTGCTTTCCAACCCCAGGTTTCAGGTTCAGTCTTTGTCACAGCAGGGTTTTTTTTCATAATGACTAAAAAAAAAACCATCCAGGTCCTTTTAGATTATTTTGTCCCTGGTTAAATTTCTTCACTGATTCTCACTGTGTTTTAGAAATGGATGATGGATGGAATTATGTGATGTAAACACCTGGGACAACCCACAAAAATCTGAAGATGATTTATTTCCAGTGGGTTTCTTCTGGTGGTGATTGGGCAGTACACTGGGAGACAATCCCCTACTCTTTTCTGAATAGTGCACACGGGCCATAAACATGGGACCAACGGCTTAAACGTCTCATCCAAAAGACGGTGCACTATCGTAACTTGCATTTCAGTCCTCCAGCTGAAACACAAGGAGAGCAGTTATGGGAATTGCACTGTGGACTTCAAGGCAGTAGCAGGTGTAATTATAATAATAAAGAAGTTCCATATTTTTCATTGCAACAGGGTAACGGATGTAGTGATTGGCCAAAAATTTTATTTTAATTTTATTCAAAATCATCATTTTTGGCGGGCGATGGGTTAGCTGAAGAAGGTACTGTACAGTATTAAAAAAGTCTTGTCTTACTAGTTGAGTAATGAATATTCTACTTCTCAGAGCTTATCCAATTGATGACTACCCATGCAAGACAAAGCAAGCTGCAGCCATCATGTTGATGATTATGAACAATCTTGATCACAGAGTTGCACAGGTATGTTCTCTCACAACCCCAAGTCTTCCAAGTCTGCGACAAGTCGCAGGATTGCCCCGGAAATCGAGACGCTCTCAAGCATGCACAAATCTCCTGAAAGTTGACCCATCTTCTGCAAATTCATAATATTTGCACGTTTTTACTATTCTATTCATCAGTTGTCGGAAATCAGTGATGATGGGTATCACCATACGCAGAAGCATAAACTTAGATGTGTTTAGAAAACTCATTTAGTCAGATCTCCCAGAAGTGACACTGGATGGCATTTTGGGTCATAACCGCTTCCCTCTTGCTTCGCTGGCCTTTGTTTATGGTTTTATTGGCATATTGAGACACTTTATAATATATTGCTTACAGATGTTCTGTACGTTATTTGAAAACTGATTTTATGTTTTGATTTGTGTCATATTATGATTCTTTTTCAATGAGCAAAAAAAATTTTATTTTAGGTTATTTTTCAAGATTTTTGGTTGGCTGTATATTTTTAAATATCATATTAATTAATTACCAGGAAGATTATGAAAAAACTGTAAAGCTAAGTAAGTATTGGTATACCATTCACCAGCATTTGAATGTAAAATATTATATTTTGTAGTTTCCTGAAGAATTGGTTACTTATGGTGGAAATGGACAGGTGTTTTCAAATTGGGCTCAGGTATAAAATGCAATTGTCTAACTTGTTATAATAAGTGATGGATGCTGCATGTGTCGCGTGGTGATGATAATAATGACTTGGTGATTATGATGGTGATTTGATTATAAAAGTGTTGAATTGGTGATTATGATGTTAAATTTATGATAATTTGATTATGTCACTACTCAATTAAATACAGTACTCAAATAAATGTTAATGAAAAAACTCATTGAGACTAAACAATAAACTAATATTGTAAGATAATTCAATGAATGTTATATAAGAATTTGTCTGAATTAATGTATGTTTATTTTTGCTTTCATTCATTTAACAACCCTTGAAATGTGGCAAAGACAAGCCAAAGCAGTCACTTGTCACAAATCCTGGTATATATATGTAGCCTATATAAATATATATATTTATACACACATCAAACTAAGTTTTTTTACGATTTGGTGATGGTTTCTGCCTAAGAAATGCCCAAAACTTTGAAGGCTGATTTCTCAAATATTGTTCTTTAAACAGCTGTAACGAAATGTTGGATTTAAATGATTCTTTTACCATTTTATAGCTCTCATTTCAACCTTGAACCCTGTATTTTAATAACTAAAAATTGATTTTTGTGATGAGTGACTGGTTTGGCTTGTCTTTACCACAAATGATATTTTATTTATATTTAATATTTCATTGCATTTCCTTCCTCTCTTTTAGTTCTGGATCATCATGAACTACTTGTCTGAGATGACAGAGGAGCAGACATTGGTGATGAACTCTGGACATCCCCAAGGCCTCTTTCCCAGCCATTCTGAAGCACCAAGATTGGTAATCACAAATGGAATGGTCAGTTACTCTCTTTTGTATGATTGTAATTATGAGGATCAATCAAGTTATGTCATTGTAAAGACTCGTACAAACCTTTTCCGGGTTTTGTATCTTTTCTTATCTTGTCAAAGTTGACTAACTAGATTGTCTTTCCATCTGAAGAATTAGCAAAAAAATATCTTGCTGACAAGGCAATAGTTACCAGTGCTGTGAAATTGACCCCAGTTATAATGCCAGCATTTATAGGTGTTCTTGATTTCAGTTTTTTTATGGCAATTTATTAATTTTTCAATCAATAGTATGGTTGACAGTTACAAAACAATCTGTAGCCAATTAAAAAATGTGTGTATGTAGTGCACTTTCCAATTCAAGACCACTCTAATTCCGAGACCCCTCTAATTCGAGACCACTTTTTCAAATAACCTAATAACGATCTTCAATATTTGAACACAAAGCTAACTCTCTAAGTGAAGACTAAACCCAAGACCATCACAAATTTTCAGGTCCCAAAAGTGGTCTCAAATTTGAGGGTAAACAGTATTTTGAATATCCAAAAATTGTCATGTTACCAGCACTCAATTACACCACATAAACTGTATATTAATTTATACAATGTTTATTGTAGATTTATTGTACTATTATTTTTAGATGATTCCAAATTATTCTACTAGAGAAATGTACAACAGATTATTTGCGCTTGGAGTGACGATGTAAGTGCTTTCATTTAAATTTAGCAGTTTACCATCTTGATTGTAACCATCATCATTAACATCATCATTATCATCTTTTATTACTGTGTTATTGTTTCACTGAGTTTCTTTTTCTCTCTTTTCATTTTTATTGTTTTGTTGTGTGCCTTTTTTTTTTACCATATACCTCTTTGTTGGAGGTTATTATCAAATCAAGTGCATTGAATTGTACTGTGTAATACCTCTACATTGAGTATTTCACTACACTAACATTAACCAACAACTTACATCGCCTTGTAAAATGGCATCTTGCTGTAACTTAATTCCTTTTTTTCATTTTATTTCTAGTTTTATTATCAAACTCATTGCAAAATAATTTTTCTTTTCAATGATGTATAACAATAAAAGCCAGGCTTCTGAGAAAAACAGTTTTTTGGCATGTTGGCATGAAAAACTTGAAATGGTTAATGAAATACAGATTTTTCAATATTTGAAAAAAGAGAAATTTCGTCCAGAGCCTGGCTTCAATTTTTATCATGTCTTATACCTTCTGGTTGAGGGCATTCAGGGTGACACATAGCATACATAGGTTTGGTATTTACAGTATTTTGTTGTTTTTCTTTTTCTTAGGTATGGGCAGATGACTGCAGGTAGCTACTGCTACATAGGCCCTCAAGGGATAGTGCATGGTACCACAGTGAGTAGCTCTTTAACCACATTGCCTCTACAGATCCAAGCCTAACACTTGCCTGTTTGCTTACAGTACATTCACATTATTTACATTTTACAAAAGCAAACTTAGTGTATACAGAATTGGAAAAAACTCATTATTAAAATAAAGAGGATGTTAAGTGGACAGTACTTTATGAATACCAAAAAATATTTTATTATTATTATTATTATTATTATTATTATTATCACCATTATCACCATTGTTACTGTTAACCACCATCATCTTCATGATTTTTATTATCGTCATCATCATCTTTATCGACATGTTCATCATCGTCATCATTATCATTATGATAGTATACTAATTTGAGTAAGGACAAAATGTTTGTGCTAATTTACAGTCCAGACACGTGCACAACTCTGGAAGAAATATATCGTAGCACCATTCTTTTAAATGTCTTACCATTATTGGCATATTTTGAGTTCCTATTTATGCCTATTAAAATATTGTAAAAAAATAATAATACAAAAGCATATATGTTCATTAAATAATGTAAAATAAAAATTATAAACTGACCATTTTAAAATAAGTCACTACGTGACAAAAAGGAAGTGTCTACAATCATCAGATTTTAGCATGTATTGTATAAATCATTTTTTACTATATTCTTTACCAGTATGCCTATCGTACATGCTTTAACATTATAAACAAAATTATAATCATCTTTGTTTAAAAAGTAATTTGACTTTCATTTGCAAAGGTCTTTATTTATAGTTAAAGACATAAGAGTATTTAATATTATGCGTTAAAATATTCTGTTACATATGGCAATACTTGCAGCATTTGGTTTACTGGACTTGACAGAATGATTATTTAAATGATACATCTGGGCAGATTCGTGGGGCCCCCCCTCCTTTCTCCCCCCCCCCTCTTCCCCCCCCCCCCCCCCCCCCAATTTACTCACAGCCATGCGAAACACTGCCTTTCATATTGATGATATTGAGGATGATGATGCATTATCATCATCTATTTCACAGAGACACATGTGATGCATTTATTATTCAATATTATACGTATGCAAGTTTTAAATTCTAATTAATTTGAACTTTCAATTTGGCATACACAGGATGACTGTATACAGTATAAACTGTTGCGCTTGTCGAGGTCTGGCCTGCTACTTCAAAATTTTTAGTTACTTTTTTTTATTATCAATCTAGATAACAGTTTTGAATGCTGGCCGACGTTGTTTCCAATCAAGTGACCTGAGCGGGCGTGTTTTTTTAACCTCTGGTCTTGGTGGCATGAGTGGGGCCCAGGCCAAAGCAGCTGTTATTAGCGGATGCGTCGGAGTAATTGCAGAGTTCAGTAAGGAAGCTGTCATGAAAAGACACAAGCAAGGGTCAGTAAAGCTTTACTACTTCTACAATATATTCTCGTATAAGGCGATTCGCATATAAGACGATTCGCATATGAGAAGATTTTTGGATGATTTTGTATGTTGGACGTTTAGGATGACCCCCAACGATGATCTGCACATAAAAGACGAACATGATTTTTAAAAACAAATGTATATGTTGTGCATATAAAAAGATCCGGTTGTAATTTTATATTTTATGCTTCATCTTATGTGCAAGAATATACCGTACATTTTACCGTATTACGGTACTTCATATTTTACGGATGATTTTATCTGTATGTTTTCATTATAGCCTTCATTATCTTAAAATTTATAATCGTCACCTTCACCATCATCATTGCAATCACATTATCAAAACTCATTATCATCATCAGCATTTTCCTCTTCATATCATCATCATCAACATCATCATCATAATTATTATCACCTCATTATCATAATAATTTTCACCATTGTCATAGTTCAATTTCATCATTCGCCGCATTTTGCGTATTATTAAAATGTGCTTTGATCTTTTGAAATAACGCTCTATGATCACTACAGTATATTATTATCACCATCATCCTAGTTATCATCGTCATTCTCACAACCATCATCATCATCATCATCAGGATCACAATCTTCAACAACATTATTGTCATCATTTTTTTCATCTTCAATATCATCCCTATCATCATCATCATCATCCTAGTATCGTCATCATCATTCTCAAAATTGTTCATTATCATCATTTTAATCATCATTAACATCACCATCTTCAACATTATTGTCAATATTTTCATCTTCAATATCATCCCGATCATCACTATCATCATCCTTGTTATTTTTCTTATTTGTCATATTCTTTCCATTGTCTTTATTATCATATAATAAAGTACAGTATGTAATACAGTAAAAACTAGAGCTGATGACAAACCAAGGCCAGTCATTTCTAGGTTGTGAATTTTACTTTGCTTTCTGAAATATTTAGGTGTGCCTGGAATCTTTTTTATTTAACAATTTTTTTTTCAAATTTTTTTTTCCACAGATGGGTGATGGAGGTTGTTGATGACCTTGAACAACTAATAGCTAGAATCAGGTAAAAAAAAAATCAATCAATATGATTAATCAATGGTAAAAGATCTGCTAATTTTCACTTTTAATAGCTAGATAATCTAGATCAACCAAAGATAACTACAATTATTGATACCTCTTGTATTGATATTATTTGCACATGCACACTAAAAACAGACTACAATAGCGCCCCCTATTGATGTTTTTGTATTAATGTTTTTGCACATGCTCACTTGACTCTACCTTTGCAAGGCAATGGTGAAGGAGCTCACTGTTTTTTATGATTGGAAAGATGTATTATAATTACAATAACAATGAAACCATACATAAAATTTAGATAAAATTTAAGCTGCTAAAAATAAGTTAAAATTTCTTCATAAAGTAAAATAGAATAAATAATTCTTCTTATCCTCTTATATGCAAATTAATATAAATTTTTCTGCTCTCTATTTTGATAGGCAAGCAAGGAAAGAAAAGATTCCACTCAGCATCGGTTACCATGGTAACATTGTTGACGTCTGGTAAGCAAGTTAATAAACCAAATAATATCTCATCTTTTATTAATATGTTAACCTTTTGACCTTATTTAAAATTAATAATAATGTTCCTACCATATCGTATTGCTTGAGACTTATACAATATCAATATTTAATTGTGTCATGGAAAATGGTTGATCAATGAAATATATGACGTGTCATGACAAACGGTTTTTCAGAATTGATAGGAAAGCCAACAAAAAAAAAATTATCAGCTGTTTATCTGTAGAGTAATTTTTTTCTAAAGTTTGCTGATTTTTAACATACTGTAGGAGCTTAAACCAAAATAAGCTTATATTCTCGTATATCTAAATTCAAGTTTTTAAAAAATCAAAATCCAAAATTACTTTATTATCCAATAATTAAATTCATTTGGTCATAGCATAGGAAATACAATCTACAATGACTAAAGAATATATAAAATAGTTAAAAAATTAAAACATGAATAAGTAATTATAAGAACCATTTTTAAGAACACGACACATCCAAAGCTCATAAAAATATTTGAAATGAATTAACAATAATCAAACAATCTAGACCATTATTATTATTATTATTTCTTATTATTATTTTTATCATTATTATTATTTTTATTATTATTATTATTATGTTAATAAAACCTACCTTAAGGGGAACTTGGACAATGGAGAAATTAGAGAACAATTAAAAAAACCATGTTAAGGGGAAAATAACACAAAAGATATTCCCCGGAAGTCTGAGTTAGTGCTAGATATTATTATTATTATTATTATTATTGTATGAAATTTTTCATTAGTGTTGATCCAGCAAAATAAAAATACAATAGTACTCACACTACGTTTCGCGTAGACTGGTGATGTTATTTCCAGTCTGGTCTGACGTCACCTCGGTGTTGTTGAGGTCGAAGTGCATCGCTGCGTCGACGAGCACCCCCTCCCCCTCTTAGTGTTGTGGTTCAATATGATATCATCATAGATATGTGATAGAATGTGTCCTCGACGCAGCGATGCACTTCGACCTCAACAACACCGAGGTGACGTCAGACCAGACTGGAAATAACATTACCAGTCTACTTGAAAAAGCGAACGGATCGTTCGCGAAACGTAGTGTGAGTACTATTGTTTTTTTATTTTGCTGGATCAACACTAATGAAAAATTTCATACAAATTATATTTGGATCCAAATTAATTTATTTCAAAATTATTATTATTATTATTATTATTGTTATTATTATTTTTATATAAATTTATCTACTAATGGTTACATTACACACTCTGATTGCAAATATATCAATAATATTTTTTATATCTTATACCAAGGGATTAATTTTGTGATGATCCACCTCACAGATACTTGATTGTAACAATAGATCTTATGAAGGATAAGTCAATGGCTACCAGTAACTAATTTTACTGGGTCACGGTTCAGAAAAATCCTTTGAAGGGTGACTTTATAAAGATAATATACTGATTAAAAAGGCGTCATAAAATGTAATGTTTTATCTACGTCAAGGGAACGATGTGTCGAAGAATATGAAAAAACTGGCGAGCTGCTGGTAGACCTCGGTTCAGATCAAACATCTTGTCACAATCCATTCAACGGAGGCTACTATCCTGTCCAACTGACCTTTGACGAAGCCAATGAGGTCATGGCCAATGACCCAAAAAGATTTAAGTCTCTTGTCCAGGAAAGGTCTGTAATACTTCATGTTTTATATATGTGGGTTTTTTGATCGCAAATAATTCTTGATTTGAATTGTAAATATAATCACTGTGACTTGCATATTTAGTTGAAAACTATTTTCACAGATATTTACACATACTGTACACACAAACATGACAGGCAGTGAATTGATCATTAACCAGGAAAAAAAAACATCACACCTTTGATAATCATTATTATTATTAATGAGTGCCTTGCATCCCTATAAAACATGCCATTATTATTATTATCATTATTGTCACATATTCTTTATTGCTCAATATTGCCATGCACTGTCATCTCATCTATCAGCTTGAAGAGGCACGTTGCTGCCATTAATAAGCTTGCAGCCGTGGGCATGTATTTCTGGGACTACGGGAATGCATTCCTCTTGGAAGCAAGAAGAGCAGGTAATGTATTTATCTATGTCAATTATTGTTTTTATTTTTACTTAATTTCCATAGCATGTGTCTTAAGTATCAATTTGTCCTCTATAAAGCCCATATATGCCCATATATAGTCATGATGTGCCTATATATGGTCATGTGGTGATGTTACAATGACCATATTTAGGCATGTTGCATGTTTTTGTCAAATTACATTTGATAGTTTTCACAGGGCTTAACATTCTATTGGTCAATTTAACTTATTTTATTATACCACTCTTCAATAATAAAGAATAGTTTATTTTAATTAATTTTAAAAATTCTAATACCAGGAGCTGATGTTTCTAAAGAGGGAGACCCAACAGGAACAGTCTTTCGATATGCATCCTATGTTCAGGACATTATGGGGTAAATTATTTTGATGTTTTTAACTGATTGTATGTATGCATGTTTAGATGCCTTAACCAACAGAGGCTGTGGTGTCACCCTATGAATATCAATATATGATATGTTCTCATCTTGAGAAAAATTGAAAAATTATACAGATAGAATATACCAGACGTGTCAAGTCTCACGGATATCGCGGGAGTCACGCGAAGCTTATATATTCTCACACATTCCAGAATTTCTTCAAATTATATATTTTTTAACGTGCTATTTCTCAAAATAAGCATACAACATGTACAAACATGACAATCGGCACTAGCGATCCCTTAGTGATTGTCACAGTATTCGACGCCGCTTCTCGCTGAGTAGAGTAATTTATGTCTAAGTGAGCCAATCAGTGACAAGCTTACATAATGCTGCTTGCAAAATGTCTGACATCGAAGGCGGTGAAGATAGTGATGCAACTCTACCAAAAAAGCGGGCCTATGTCCACTACAAATCAAAATTTTGTATGTTATATCAACGCTTGACTGTATTTTTCCTTAAAAGTTTGTGATCTCATGCATAATTTTCCAAAAATGCCCAATCTCAAGCAAATCCAGAAGAAATCTCAAGCAAGCCAGTACGAGACCCTTGACAGGTCTAATATACATGTATTCTTGATTGACTCTACATGATCTTGCTTGACTCTTTACATTATGATTTGCATCAGAAAAATATGAGAATATGAAGAAATGTTCAATTTAATATTACAAGATATTCAGTCTCACTTAGTATCCTGGTACATATTTTCTTGTTTCCATAGTGATATTTTCTCTCTTGGATTTGGTCCTTTTCGCTGGGTATGTACATCTGGTGACCCCGCTGACCTGGAAACAACTGATCAAATTGCTACGGATGTTATAAAGGAACTTATGAATAAAGGAGGTAAGTTTAATTTGTTTGTAGTATGGAGTATGATGTTTAAGGTATACAGTTAGTATAACCATGTGTTTTTATGCTTTTTTCCATGAATAAAAAAAAGGTAAATGTAGGAGAATAACCCATAATTCGCAGTGTCATTGTGTAGAATTGCGTATGGGCATGGTTCATGACTACCTAGCAGCCGTAAAGAGGCACTTGTAGTAGCTACATGTTTACAACATTCCATAATGACGGGCTGAAATGAACCATCACATCGGGGTAACATCTAGGCTTCTAACAGATGCAGTGGGCACGAACCAGATGTGTACACTGGACCTCCATTCTAAGTCCTTACCTGAGAGACTTGGTTCTACCAACTGAATCCTGGGCGAGAAGGGGCTGGTACCAGCACAAATGTTAAGGCTGTAGTTGGCGGTGCCCCTGTCTTACCGCTCGGCCACTTGACTCTCCCAAAAAGCATAAAGTATTACTGTGCCTTTGTAACTTTATTGCAAGGTGTTCATATAGTAGGACTAATATGAATGTACAAAATATAACTACAGTGCACCTTCCAATTCAAGACCTCTCTAATTCCGAGACCCCTCTAATTCGAGACCACTCTTCCAAAGACCCAAATAACAATCTTCAACTTTTTAACACAAATCTAGCCCTCTAATTGGAGACCAACCCCGAGACCACCCCAAATTTTCAGGTCCCAAAGATGGTCTCGAATTGGAAGGCAAATTGTATTAAATGATTAACTAGATTTGATTGATTGATGATTGATTGATTAATTGATGATTGATTGATTGATTGATGATTGATTGATGATTGATTGATGATTGATTGATTGATTGATTGATTGATGATTGATTGATTGATGATTGATTGATTGATGATTGTTTGATTTCAACTTTTGATTTGTTGTGGATTATATCATTTACTGGTCTCAGATGTTGTTAATTCTGTTCCTGAGAAAACTAATTTCTCAGGAACAGTTTTATTGATTGATTGATTATGATTGATAATTGATTTCAACTTTTAATTTGCTGTGTATTGTATCAATTTAGAGACTCAGACCTCTGCTGATTCCGTGCCTGAGAAGACAAAACAACAATATGAGGATAACATTCGCTGGATTACTGAAGCTGGGAAACATAAACTGGTAGGTATAACTATAGAGAAAATAATTCTATTTTTTCTATGGTATAACAGTTCATAAATTATTATTATTATACATTCTTTCATCATAAATTGTATTTTTGGCAGCATTTAACTAGAACAATGCATCAAACACTACATTTCACTCACAAAAACTACACATCCTATTATTAAATAGAATAGAATGAGAAAAGAGTTCATTCTTCTTAATAGTGCATTATGTCTGTGGTTACACCGTGGAATGGGCCCACTGCAGTATGTTCAAAGTTCACACCCACTGCAACTAAAATAGAAGAACTTAAACTGAATAGAAGAATTTCCACTATTGATTGTGTGAAGAAACTAAAAATAAAACTACAACTAGTTATATATGTTTGATTGTAGAACAGAACATTTGGCTTTACCTCATTGAAATAGTGAAGTAAAAGAATATATGCTTTGACCAAGTTTGCAGATAATCCAACATTAAAACTTACATGTTGTCTACAGCATTATGTGGTTAACATTTTAGTCTTGAATGTTTCCAAAATGAACAATTGCATTTGACTTACAGTTCTATGTTGTCATTATATTTTACAATCTTATTCTATGGATCCTACCTTTTTATGTTTTATAAAGTAAAATACAGTAAATACAGAAAAATTTGAGATTCAGCACAAGTGATTTCAATTTAGGTCGTTGGTTCTCAAGCACGCATTCTCTACTCAGACCAGGAAGGCCGTGTGGCTATCGCTACAGCTTTCAATCATGCGGTGAAAATTGGTCGGCTAAAAGCACCGGTAGTGCTGAGCCGTGACCACCATGATGTCAGCGGTACTGACAGTCCTTTCAGGGAGACCTCTAACATTTATGATGGATCAGCATATTGTGCAGGTAAGGGTTGTATGTAGATAGCTGTATGTCAAGGATATATATATATATATATGGTTCTATTTCTGGCTGTTTACTTACGTTTACTTTTTAGCTG